CCCTCTATCAGCCCCCTGGGGGGTCAGCCCCACCATTCGTACAATTTTGAATCCCCACCACCTAGGGATGCTTCCAGTAAAATTTAGTTAAATTCCAATCAGTGATTAAGAAGAAGAAGTAGTTTAAAGAAATTGTTGACAGACGGATGACGGATGACGGACGCCATGGTATGGCATAAGCTCACTTTGGTTCTTCGGAACCCGGTGAGCTAACAATGGTGATTATATCAAGGTTTTACTGAACATAGATGTTGTTTATCTTGGTGAGACAATATCACCTGTCTGAAGTTCACCGCATGGGCATGACATAAACCTATAACGTGATCCGAACAATGATGACTGCTGCCTAAAACATGGTTTACTAAACACACAAATATGGAAGAAAATAATATCTTTTAATTTCAAGGCACACAAATATGGAAGAAAATAATATCTTTTCAAGGCACACAAATATGCCAGAAAAATGATTTCTATTCAAAGCACACAAATTAGCCAGAAAAATTATATCTATTCAAAGCACACAAATTTGCCAGAAAAATGTATCACCACTGCAGTAGAATTAATTATGTTAAACCATTTTTTCAATAGAATTGATAAAAGTATTACCATCATTTAAGTTCTCAGCATCTGCATGGTTGAGAAAAGCTCGCGTTCCACTGATACCAATGTCCACCACATATCCATGATCTTCTAGACTCTGGATACAGCCATGCAGTACCTGTACACAATCAAATATGTGTACCTCTCTTTGAGAAAAGTGTTTTACCCAGAGGTCGACAGACACTCTGCATGGAGATTATGAAATTTAAAACATTATCTTCAGACTTTGATGATATTTCTATTAAACCATTCAGCTGCTGATAACAGAGTTTAACAGAATGAAGTCCACAGAATGAAGACTTTTGGTTTAGGATTTATAAAGCAAGTCTCTTCTTTGCAGGCATATTTGCTATGTCAGGGAGAATATTCCAATTTTCCAATTTCATTCTGGTTTTTGACATCCCAACATTTTGCTTTTTGCTCAAAGTTAATTAACTCAATGCTTGGCGATCATTACAAAATTATTTTGTCACGTACAGGAAATTGTCAGTTATTTTTCGAAGTTGCCACAAAATTTCTGCAATATGGAAAGTCTATGAGGAAGGGAGATAAATCTTACAGTGGGGACCAATCAACTCCGTTCACTGTAAAGTACAGGTAGTATCACTTACCATGCCCTTCTTGATGTGGCTAGCTTCCATACCCTCGTTTACTTCTCTAGGATTGATGGTCAGTTTAAAGTCATGCTTTTTCTTCACAATGGACATATCCACTACCTTGCAGGGCAGTAACTGACCAACATGGAACATCTCGTGGAGACTGGCTACATCCTGAACAAATAGTAAATATATATAAGTTACCTTCATAGGGAAACAGACTAACAGTATACCTAGCTAAGGTTAAAAAGACCATCTATATCTAACTATAAATCTTAAACATGACATACCTAAATCCTCTTAACCAGACCATACCTAAAGGTTATCTAGATCTGTACCTAAATAAACAGACCATTACTACCTAATGTGAATTAGTCCATACCTGACTAATGTTAAATAGGCCTTAGATACCAATAACTAATGACTTATGTTAAATAGGCCATTTCATAGGTCTTAGATACTCCTAACTAATGACTCATGTTAAATAGGCCATTTCATAGGCCTTAGATACTCATAACTAATGACTTATGTTAAATAGGCCATTTCATAGGCCATAGATACTCATAACTAATGACTTGTGTTAAATAAGCCATTTCATTGGCCATAGATACCTATGACTAACTAGAATTATTATACCTCTACTGAGTTTTTCCTATATAAATACAATAAGATAAAATCTGCTATTTCCCTTAAATCACTTAAATCTCTCCATCTGAGAGCTACTCCCTCCCCAAATTAGGACTACTCCCAGCAAAAAAAGAACTACTCCCTCAAAGAATTATCACTCCCCATCACAGCAGAGGACCCAAAAAGATCCTCATTTATAACTCTATCCCCACCAACAGACGCTCCAGAACTGACTAAAATGTCAGAGACTGGAGGAGGGCCCACCCTTTCCAGAGATGAACTAACACCAATGGAAGGGGGACCAACCTCCCTGACAACAGGATAGCCAACACCTGTTTTCTCTAGACTAGAGCCAGCCAAGGGCTGGATAGTCTTGGGACCCAGCAGGGCCTCTGCCAACGAGGTACCTGCCGAAGGACTCTCCGTGGGGTCGCCGGTACTACCGGAGGAGGACCTAGCCCTGTCCTTCCTCTTACCCTGTTTGTGAGACTTGGAGAAGTCCTTCATGATTCACAAACAACAAGATAAATTAACAATTCAGCCTTTATTTGTAAATAAAATAATTTGAATTCACAAAAATTACCGTAAACGAAAACGAAAGTGAAAGTACACACTCACGAAAACGAACGGGGACCAAAACACTCAAGGCTATTTCATTGGCCATAGATACCTACATTGTATAAGAGGCCCAAAGGGCCTGTATCGCTCACCTGGAAATGGTCTTATTGGGCCTACCCCTCAGGCCCCAGAGGGGTCAGACCCACCATTTATACAAAATTGATTTCCCTTCCCAATAGGATGCTACTCTTCAAACTTGGTCAAAATACCTTCATCCCAACAGAAGAAAAAGGATCTTAAAGCTATTTCTCTATATCCCTTATTGGGCCCACCTCTCTGCCCCAAGGGGGGTCAGGCCAACCGTTTATGTTGGTTCCCCTTCACCAAAGGGTGTTTCATACCAAATTTGGACAAAACCATGTCGTTCCTACAAGAGAAGATGGATTTTGAAGAATATGGTCTATTTCCCCAATTATGCCCTGCCCCTATACCCCCAGGGGAGCCACACCCACCATTTAAATTTAAGTCCCCTTGGCCCAAGTATGCTCAAGACTAAATTAGGATAAAATCCCTTAATCCCTACAGTAGATGAAGAATTTTAAAGGTTTAACCTCTATTTCCATTATATGGCCATGCCTCCAGGGGTGCCACACCCACCGTTTATACAAAATTGAGTCCCCTTGGCCTAAGGATGCCCCAGACTAACCTTAATCCCTGCGGTAGAAGGATTTTAAAGGTTTTACCTTTATTTCCATTATTTGGCCCTTCCCCTCTGCCCCCAGGGGGGCCACACCCACCGTTCATACAAAATTGAGTCCCCTTGGCCTAAGGATGCTCCAGACTAAATTAAGTCAAAATCTATTTGGCCGATCAGGACAAGTAGCATTTTAAAGAAAAAGTTGACGGTAGAATGGACGACAGACGCTGCAGTAAGGCATAAGCTCACCATGGTCCTTCGGACCAGGTGAGCTAATAACTAATGACTAATGTTAAATAGGCTATTTCATTGGCCAGAGATACCTATATTGTATAATGAACGACTAATGTTAAATAGGATATTTCATTGGCCATAGATACCTATAATTGAATACTTATGTATGTTTGTAAAAATTTGATTACTAACTATTTTACATCACCCATTATTAGTGTTTACCAGAGAATTCTGTTCAAGAATAAGATTGCAAAAAAAGCAAGCTTTTCTCTTCAAACAAGAGGCCCATGGGCCTTAACGGTCACCTGATATATTTATACAAAGAGTTAATTTTGATTTTAACACGAACAGAATTATTTTCAAAGTGACAAAAAACAATAAAACCACCTTATTCAATATCTAGCATACAGATTTAAGATTAAAAAGTATTTGAAACTAGCACCTCTAATTCTAAACAAGGAAAATGAAGAAATTTTAGCACACTGACTCCTTTGGGCCCCACCCTACAGCCCTAAGGGGTAGGGCTGGCTCAAAATTTTCAAAGTAATAAACTGTCAACTCAGGGTTATAATTCCAATCAAGTTATTAACATGTAATATTCAAAGTATCATTATTTGCCATTATTAACCATAATAAATTTTGCCCCCCCCCCCCCCCCTCCTTCCCCAGGGGGTAAACGTGAGACCCTAGGATCATAAACCTTAAGACCCTTCCATCTATGAATAGTGTTTGATTCTACCATATCTGGGTCTTTGAGAAGAAGATTTTTGAAATTTCAGTCAATTCAACCCTTTTTGGCCCCACCCATCAGCCCCGGGGGGTCAGTCAGGGGTGATATGTGCATACCATCAAATTGGAGAAGAAGTCGAAAATGTAAATTGTTTACGGACGGACGCTGGACGCCAGAAGACTGAGATGCCAGACAAAAGGCGATCGCAATAGGTCACTTGAGACTTTGTCTCAGGTGACCTAAAAAAGCAATCATAAGGTTATGATTTATTTTTTTCAAACATTTATGAGAAATATATCAGTTACTTACCAGGGTATTATCACTGGAGGCAGTCTCTGTTAGTGTTTGTAACAGCTGTGTATAGGCATCAGAGATGTGAGTGATTTGTATGGAGCCAGACAGGCCATTAGGGAGTCCCACACACAAAGCATAGTCCTCCACCCGTGTAACACATCCCAGTAACAGCATCCCAGTGCTCACCATCTACAAATGTGAAATAAGGAAACAAATTTATATCTGCTTTATTTAATCTTAAAAAAGTAACTTTTTGAAAAACTATAATCCTGTTTTGACCTGACTTTGATGTCTAAGATACCTTTAATTGCATTGTGAGTCTGAGTCCAGAGGGCCTGTATCGCTCACCTGTCTCTTTTGTTACATGAAATTGACATATAGGTAACTTCAGATCAAGTAGCTATGGCGGGTTTCTATGCCTATTTCCCCAAACCTGGGACCGCTAGTCTGTGCGTGCCACCGTGTACTGTTATGACGCGTCCTCAGGTATTTTTATACAGGTAGCTCTATCGGAATCCTGTGTCTAAGAATAGATTATTGTAAAAAGCCGAATCTAATGCCATAAATTGATACATGCGTTTCACGATAAAGACTCAACAAAATGCTTATTTCGTGTTATTTCTACAATTTAAAACAAATAATATGCTGTTTGTAATACACGATCTTACAATTATTACCAACAAGTTTTGAAAGGATTTAATTTTCATTACTACTGCTTGCGTCATGCCGTTATCTGCTTTCTTACAAAACACACATCTTGATTTAGTTTTTCCTGCACCTATGAATGGCAAAATGATATATATAATTTTTGAATAGCATGTCTAACACGTGTTTTGCGATCCTTACTTTGTGTTGCAGTCTTTAATTCCTGCATTTCAAATAAATGAGACTGTCCTCAACGATGAATTTTCCCTTTTTATGGTACAGTGGAACCCACTTATTATGATATTGGTTATTATGATATACCGTAAAAACCCATGTAATTTGCGCACCTGTGTAATTTGCGCAGGTACTTTTTGAGGCTGAAAATCAGGAAAAAAAGGTTCTACTCGAATATTTTGCAAACCCAAAAAATCTCGAAAAAAACGATGTTCATGCTCCGAAAATCGATCTCTGAATATATTTTTTTTAAATATATTTCAAGGATTTTTTTTCATTGATGTAAAATGATATTTAAAACCAAGAAGAAACTACATAAAATGTGTATTTTGTTGCTTGTTTTCTTCGAATTATCTGATCACATATGACACACACGTGTGCGCATATCGGCATAAATCAATTCATTTTAGCAATATTTTACATAAAACATTTACTTGCTTACAAAAACATATCAATTAATAAGTAATTCGATGTTTAGTAACCGCTTGTGCATATCTCCTGGTGAAAGACATAATCAGATACCTTTTATTGATCATAATTACGATCAGTGAGAAGGGCTCATCATGGCGGCTTGGGTTACGTCACTTCAAACCAGGTCATGTCACAGTTCAGTTTGGCCATGGAATTTGATTATCTAAGTCCGTGGTTTGGCGATATTTTTGTACAAATTACAATGCAGTAATGAGCTAACACTATCTCTGTGATTACCTGTTAACAATAGCTCTACTAATTGAAATGATTTGCAGTCGCGATTGACGGACCGTGTTGTTGTTTTTTTCACAAGCCAACACGTGGCGTGAATTACGAAGCCCTACTGCATTGTCATAACTACAGACTGATTTGACTGATAAGGGATTATAAAAAATATGTTTATACTAGAAGCGTGGACAATCAATACATCCTCTTCAAATCTACTCCAAGGAAAAAAATAGTTAACGCAGACTATTTTTACGATGCTTCATTTAATAAATATTGAAATAATTCACGAGGTTATTATCAATCAC